GGCACGGGGGGCTCCCACCAGGAGGACCTGTGTGCTCCGTCCCACAGGAGCAGCTGGCGCGCGGCCTTCTGGAGCTTCTAATTTTTCTTTTTTAAACTTTTAATTTGAACTGAAATAACTTAGGACTTCCGAAAATATTGCAAAAACAGCACAAGAGATTTCCGTAACCCTTCAGCCAGCTTCTCTAAATATTAACATCTTATATAACGCCAGTGCAGTGATCAAACACAGGACACTCGCACTGGTATAATGCGATTAGCTAATCTACAGCACTTACCGCATCTCATTAATTGCCCCTCTAAGGGTCCTTTTCTGTTCTGGGATTCAATCCAGGATCATACATTGCATTGAGATGTCGTGTCTCCTTAGTCTCCCTTTAATCTAGGACAGTTCTCTGTCATTCTTTTTCTTTCACGATCAAACCACATTTAAAAAGTACTGGCCAGTCGTTTTGTAGAATGTCCCTCAGTTTCATTTTGTCTGACGTTTCCTCCTGATTGGATTCAGGTTGCGCTTTTTTGGCAAGAGTACCCCAGAAGTGATGTACCTGCTCGAGAAGGACAAGATGTCGATGTCTCATCACTGATGTTAACTTGGATCACTTGGTTAAGGTGGCGTTTGCCAGCCTTCTCCTTTGGATCTACTGGCCAGAATCCTCCTTTTCAAAGACTCTTTTCAGTGAACTATGTCTCTTCGACAGTTTTTCTCTGTTACCAGCTCCTGGATGAAGAGTCTTTAAGCTATGCTTGCTACAATGTATGCATAAACTGTGCAATTATACTTCACTCATGAGGGCCTCTGGACAACACCAGCCAGGGTCAAGCAAGGGTGCTTGTTTAAGCCTCATGTCATCGGCAAAAGAGTTCTAAAAAATCAAGTCTAAACTCAACAACATGAAAACAAATGACCCAGTTAAAAAAATGGGCAGATGATCTGAATACACACCTCATCAAAGAAGTTATATAATGGCAAATAGATGAAAAGATGCTCAACATCATATGTAGTTGCTGAATTGTATATTAAAACAAAAATGAAATACCACTACATACCTATTAGATACCAGAATCCAAAAACGCTAACAAGATCACATGTTGGTGAAGATGTGGAGCAAAAAGAACTCTCATTCAGTGCTGGTGCAAATGCAAAATGGGACAGCCACTTTGGAAGACAGTTTAGAAGCTTCCTCCAAAACTAAATGTACTCCTACCATACCATCTAGCAATCACAACTCCTTGGTATTTATCCAAATGAGTTAAAAACTTACATATACACAAAAACCTGCACATGAATGTTGATAGCAGCTTTATTCATAATTGCCAAAACCTAGAGGCAACCAAGATGTCCTTCAATAAGTGAATGGATAAACGATGGCACATCCAAACAATGAAATATTATTCAGTACTAAAACCAAATAAGCTATCAAGCCACAAAAAGACATGGAAGAATTTTAAATATGTTTTGCTAAGAGAAAGAAGCCAATCTGAAAAGACTACATATTATATGATTCCAACTATATGACATTTTAGACAAGGCAAAACTATGGAGACAGTAAAAAGATAAATGGTTGCCAGGGGTAGGGGTGGGAAGAAAGAGGGAATGAATAGATGGAACACAGGATTTTTAGAGCCATGAAATTATTCTGTAGGATACTGTAATGGTAGATGTGTATCACTATATATGTGTTAAAACCCCTAGAATGCACAAAACAAAGATGAACCCTAGTGTGAACAATAGACTTTAGTTAATAATTTGTCAATATTGGCTCATCCACTGTAACAAATGTACCTGCTAATGCAAGATGTTAATAATTGGAGAAACTGGGGTATGTGTAAGGAGGTACATGGGAACTCTATACCTTCTGCTACATTTTTTGTATACATCTATAACTGCTCAAAAATTACTCTTTTTTAAAAAAATAAAATCTAACCCTTTCCACACTTCTGATAATCCAGAGTGGTTACACCAAGGAAATTTGACCCACGGGGTCTATAAGGAGAGTCATAGAGTGTTAGATGTGGTAGGGGTCATCTTCATTTACTAGTAAGGAAATTGAGTGACCCAAAGAAGGGATGTGATTCCCTGTGGGCTCACAGAGAATGCTAACAAATGAACCAGAGCCCAGGTCCTGTGCTGGACTCTCCCACCTATTCCAGGTTCTGCCCCTTTGCCAAAGTATTAAGGTCTTGCTTAACTTATTTACTTCCATTCTTCTTCTCAGGCTGCCAATAATGGGTTTATTATATACCAAACTCCAGACCAGAGCGAATCCTTCCAAAGGTACTCTACGTTGGAATATTGACACATCTTGATTCCGGACTCTTTTGCCTTCCTAATTACAGAAGTAAAAATGGACAGTTCTAAGCAATCATGTAATTGTGAAAGTTATCTCTTCCAACCCACCTCAGGCACCAAAGTATATTTTATCAATGTGGTTTTCTTTGTGTTAAGCTACTATTCAAATATTGGTTACATTTACCAATAGAATTGACATCCTAATGAATCAATCTATTTAAGGCAAAACCTATTTTAACACTGTCATTTTAAGTCATTTGGACTAAAGAAAATTATATTATTTTATTGTTAACTCTGGTGCACACTGCCTCATTTTTTATGCTAATCTGATGAAATAGACTACTTATTGCCTGTACGTGGGTACTGTTATATTTCACTCTCCAATTTACTCTCCAGTTACACCTCATACCCTTAATTTTTCCTTCACTCTCACTCCAACTTACGTCCTCTTTTGACTCATGCCAGACTTCAGGCCCTTGCCTGCATTTTTCTCAGCCTTTTCTTTCTCCCTTCTCCACCCAGCTGGGATACCACATCCTCTGTCCCCTTGTTCCTCTGGTGTGCTCACCTGGCCAACTCAGAACCTGCGGTCTCCGCTTTCTTCTTCATGCTTTTTTTTTTTTTTTTTCTGTTGCCCAGGCTGGAGTGCAGTGGCACTACCTCAGCTCACCTCAACCTCCACTTCCTGGGTTCAAGCAATTCTCCTGCCTCAGCCTCCCGACTAGCTAGGATTACAGGCATACGTCACCACACCTGGCTAAGTTTTTTGTATTTTTAGTAGAGATGGGGCTTCACCATGTTGGCCAGGCTAGTCTTGAACTCCTGACCTCAAGTGATCTGCCCGCCTTGGTCTCCCAAAGTGCTGGGATTGCAGGCATGAGCCACCTCGCCCGGCCCATGCTCTCTTTTTCCTCAACTTTACTGAAGTCAACTGAGGATAGGTGGAGGAAATCAGTCAGTTCTCCCGATGGCTGTCACTATAAACAATATGGCTTTTAATTTCATCTGGGCCCTCTATTGCTCTTCTGCAATCCTTGTATTTGATTTTACCTTAGTCAGTGTCCTCTCCTATTTTTCTCATTGAGTATTTCAAATTTATTACTCTTTTCAAGCTAAGATCCCAGGCTAGGTGTGGTGCCTTATGCCTGTAATCCCAACACTTTGGGAGGCTGAAGTGGGAGGATCACTTGAGCCCAGGAGTTTGAGAGCAGCCTAGGTAACATTGAAATCACCTATCTCTAGGAAAAAAAATAATAATAATAATGTTGGAGGTCAAGACTGCAGTGAGCTACAGTTGCACCACTGCATTCCAGCCTGGGCAACTGAGCCAGACCCTGTCTCTAAAAAATTTTTAAACTTTTTAAAAGACCCCATCTGCTACCAATCTTTCTCAGCAGACCTTGCCTTCTAGTACACAAGAAAATGGGAGACCATTACTATACAGACAAACACCTTCAAATACTTATCTGCAGTTCTTCTCTTGTGGCCTCAGAGAAGGCGGCATGCTTCCCCAACCCACCCAAACCAGTTCCTCTTTCTGCTTAGGACTGCCCCTCTCATTTTATCTTCTCCAAGATCTTCCATTAATGATTCCCTCTCCCCACTGCATCATCAGCTGCTCTCTGTCCATTATTTTTGTTTTTGTTTTTCCTCTCAGCTTCTAAACTTGTGAACCTCTTTCTTTCCCCTTTAGAAAAAAACCCTTCTTCAACCCTTCTTTCCCCTCTGGCCCAGTCCCTTTCCTTTCTGTCTCTATCATACTTCTTGAAATCTCATGTTCCTCATCTCCTAATTTCCCTTTCAATTTTTTTTTTTTTTTTTTTTTGAGACAGAGCGTTGCTGTGTCACCCAGGCTGGAGTGCAATGGTACAATCTCAGCTCACTGCCTCTGCCTCCTGGGTTCAAGCGATTCTCCTGCCTCAGCTTCCCAAGCAGCTGGGATTACAAGCATGCACCACCACACCTGGCTAATTTTTTTTTTTTTTGTATTTTTAGCAGAGACGGGGTTTCACCATGTTGGTCAGGCTGGTCTCAAACTCCTGACCTCAAGCGATCCACCCACCTCGGCCTCCCAAAGTGCTGGAATTATAGGCGTGAGGTGCCACACCTGGCCTTCCCTTTCACTTTTAAACTCACTTCCATCTGGATTCTGGCTTCACCACTCTGCTACATTTCCATTGGCTAAGATGGTCATTGGTTTCCTAACTCCTAGAATCCAATTTTATCTGACTTTGCCTCTCCAGTATTCAGCAATTGGATCAATATCGACTTGTTTTTCAAAACAGGGTCTTGCTCTGTCACCCAGACTGGAGTTCAGTGGCACATTCATAGCTCACTGTAGTCTCAAACTCCTGGGCTTACGGGATCCTCCTGCCTTGGCTTCTTGAGTAGGTGGCAGTACACATGGGTGCCACCACAGCTGGCTAATTATTTTATTTTTTGTAGAAATGGGGTCTTGCTTTGTTGCCCATGCTGAACTTGAATTCCTGGGCTCAAATGATCCCCCTGCCTTGGCCTCCCAAAGTGTGAAGAGGGATTACAGGTGTGAGCCACTACCCCCAGCCTATTTATTCTCTAAAAAATGCACACAAAATCTCTTAGCAAATGCCTCGCTTCACAATTGGTGGTCAATTTATTTCTTGTACTGTATGCCTAACATAAAAAACCCAATCTAGAGATTTTTTTTTCAATAAGGATCAACTCCAGCATTTTTACTTTTACTTAAAAGATAAAACAACTTTATTACGACATCACCATTATATACAGCTGTGCTTTTCACATCAATTTGGCTTAGTTCTTGGAGGAAAGTCTTAATGACTAAAATTGTAGACAGATCATAGGACAAGAGAACTAGTCTAACAGTCTAACAAATTCAATAAGAAATCAGGACAACTGTAGACTATATAAAAACTGTCTTAGAAAATTATTTACAACTTTATCATAGTGTAAATACTCTAAATGTAAAATAAATCTATGGATTTTATACAAAAATACTCTAAAGTACAAATGTAAGTTAAATGCTGAATAAAACATTCACCTTTTCCAGTGGATGCTATTACTAAGAACATAATCTAGGTGTCAAAACTTAAAGTCATAACCACAAAGCAATGTTTTCTTAATCACTCATAATTTTAAATCTGTTAGTAGTCATCACAAGGTTTAGAGTTCTACTGAAAAAGTCTCATTTTTACAAATGCAACTCATATACTTTCCTTCATGGACCCTTTCTCTGTTTAACATGTGTAAAAAAAGTAAAACAAAATTCTTAGTCCAAAGTTGACATGCTATGTGAAGTACATAAATTGCAAAATTATCAATCTTAAATACCTAGTTGATTCTCTTTACAAGAGAAACAGTCATGTAATACATCAGAAAATACAAAGCACACTGCTACAGGGTACCTACTCAATCTAAAAATAATGTTCCCACACTTCAGAAAATGTTAAGTACTAAATCTTTAAAAGTCATTGTTTTATGAACAGTTATAAACAGAAAAAAACTCTTCATATTTACATAATATTGGTATGAAATAACTTTGGAATAATATAGGAAGCATTTTGCCAAGAGGAATCATTTTGCTGTATAAAAAGTAAGCAGAAGCCAGGTGCGGTGGCTCAAGCCTGTAATCCCAGCACTTTGGGAGGCCGAGGCAGGAGGATCACCTGAGGTCAGGAGTTCGAGACCAGCCTGGCCAGCATGGTGAAACCCTATCTCTACTAAAAATACAAAAATTAACCGGGCATGGTGGTGGGCACCTGTAATCCCAGCTATTCAGGGGGCTGAGGCAGGAGAATCGCTTGAACCTGGGAGGCGAAGATTTACAGTGAGCCAGGATCACGCCATTGTACTCCAGCCTGGGTGACAGAGAGACATCACTCTCAAAAAAAAAAATTAAAATTAAAATTAAAAAGTAAGCATGTCTTATTGTTTATTTTTCCCCATTGCTAAAAATGACTATTTTGAAACAAGGTTGATAGAGTTTACAGTTCAATTTTTACTTTGAGGTACTAATTTTGCATTTGGCCAGATGCTCTTAAAAATTAAAAAGTAGACATGTCACCTAGTAATATGCCAATTTAAATTTTCTAAGAAGTTTTATAAAAAAACTTCTATTAAAATAGACATATTCTAGTTACCAATCACATTCATATAGAGAAAATGCACATTAAACATATTACTGTACAAACAATTTGGACTTCAGTTCCAGCTTTGGAGTCCTCTCCATTCTATTAATTGGGGTGATAAACATGGCATTTAGCAAGCTATTAACTGTGGATACCAGCACATGCCTAAGATCTAAACAACTGAAAAAGTACTTAAGAGTTCTACTTTGAAGCAGAGTAAATACTGACACTGGGACATTTTAAGTGACTAATTTTTTGTAACATATTAGTGCAAATTAGAAAACTTTGAGAAGAATTTAGTCATGGAAAGAAGGAAGCATAATCTCATCTTCATTCACTCCTTGTGCATATCGAACTGCTGAGAAGCCCGCCAGGTGCAAACGGTGCCTTTGGAAGACGAACCAAATCAGTACGCCCATGAGAACTAAGATACTTAGTGTGGCAACTGTGATAGCTATTGATGTGTAATCAGGGCCTGGAACAGGAAAAGGTTTGATGTTGGAGGAGAGAATACAAAAGTGATCATTATTGATTTTATACATTATGGGTTGTGTCACACACGTAAACCTGTAAGCTGTGTACAGACATAATAAATCTGATTGTTTCATAGCACTAACATAGAATTCAAACTCATCATCAGATCAAAAGAAACACTTGAGTGATTTCTTTTCAAATGTAAGTGTTTTCCTTTTCATTCAAATCCTCTTCATTGAGATAGGAATTTTCTTCCAAAGACATTAATGTGCTGTGATTATTCTCACATTCCCTTCCTAACACCAATTTGGGAATATCACCACCTGTATATTATCCTACTTTGATAGCAAATCGCTAAAAGCTATAAATTTTTGTGATTGACTTACCTGGGGCCAAATAAAGTATTATTTGCTTCAAAATGATTTAAGCCTCTCAGATGAGTTCATTTAGTGCAGCTGCTGTTCCAAGCCCCTTATCTGCATGCTGCCCAGATGGATTCGCTCTGTTCCATGACTTTACATACCATTGCTATGCACATTACATATCTCATCCCTCTATGGATAACTCAAAATGGCCAACATAGAACTTTTGATTTACAACAACCTAACTCTGCTCCCACCCAACCCCCAAATCTTCCAGTTGCTTTCCATTCCACTCAGAATAAAACCAGAACTCAAGCCTTGCTTCCAAAGCTCTGTATGTCTAGCACCTACCTGTCAGTTCTTCCCTGAGCACTCAGCAAACTCGTTCTGCCCTAGGCTCTTTGCTCCAACTGGTACCTCTGTCTGTTATGCCCTTTCCCTTGATATTTGCTTGGCTTGATTTTTTAGATCTTAGCTTCAATGTCTCCTGCTTCTAGGTGTCTTCCCTGGTATCCTAGAGTAGCTATCCACCTAGTCTCCATCACATAGAGTTTATAACAATTTGATATTTTCCTCTCTTTAAAAAATTGACCTATTTACTTCTCTTTCTTCACCAGATTGTAATTTCTGTGAGAACAGATCCTTATCTGTCTTGTTCTCAGGTGCATCCCAGTGTGCAAAACAGGGCATGGCATATAGTAGACACTCTGTTTACTGACTCAATGTGTGTATACATGGATACTGATTACCTAGAATTGAGGTTTTATCTTTAATATTTACATACCAGAAGCGAAATTTTTATGCAAGATCTTTAAAAATGTTACTGTGAAAAATTTGGAGCTCTTTCTCCAGAAATGAAGTTAATATAATATTTTAATGGTAATTTTATGTATTAATTCATAATAAAATGTAAGTTCAAATTATGATTTTTTATAGATACCCTGAATGTTTTCAATAACTAAATCCAGTTTTGCATTGTTTTAAAATTAACCATGAGTTTTATAGGATTAGAAAGAAAGGAAGCAAATTAACTGCAGAAATAGACCTTTAAGCTTTTATATAATCAAACTATAGAATAAAATACATCTCAAGAGCATTTTAAAAGAAATTACTTCCCTAATACCCTGGCAACTTTTGTTTTTCTTAGGAAAGAATTATATGAAATGTAGACTGGAGTCCTAGTCATCTTGTGCATTTATTGTCCCTTGTAATCTATTTTTCAGGGGGAAATCTCTATGACTTAATCAAGATATTTGGATATACTTTAAGGACTAAATACTTCAAGACCAAGTACAGAATTTTGTACATAATTGGATTGTGCATTTATTTCCTGACTGTTCTGCAAAAAGTTTCCTAAGGACAGGTTCCATACTTACCCAGAGGCATTTTGCAGACAACTCTTCCAAAGCCATGTTCACATTCAACATTTTTCCAAGTTTCATTTGAAGCTATCAACATGCTACATTTTCCAATACCACTCTTACTTTTATTTTCCCATTTGACAAATGTCACTTCTGATCCATCTAACCAACTCCAAGACTGGTCTGAAGAAAGAAATTAAATATAACTATGTTTACTGACACTAAACTAGTAAGTTACAAGCATGGGGTTCATGTAACTCATCAGAACTGTGCTGTCCAATATGATAGCTACTTGTTAAAATAAAATGCATTAAAAAGGAAAAAAAAATCAGTCCTTCAGTTGCACTACTCACATTTCAAGTGCTCAAGAGCCACATGTGACCAGTGACTACTATATTGGACAGTGCAGATATAGAACATTTCTGTCTTTGTAGAAAGTTCTATTGGACAACACAGATAGAGAATGTGGTGTTTCGATTAAAGTGTAGAATACTTGCACATTTATTTTGTGAGGGAGAGATTTCCAAGGACCCATATACTTCCCCTAGTCTAATTTTAAAAAGTCATATCATTAAAGACATGCTGGTGGAAGACGAAGGGTGCAGGAACCTCCATCCCCACCCTTCTCCCACACCACCCCCAGGACTTCATCTTTGTTTTCCAGCTGAAGTGGCACCACCTTGTGGTGACAGTGTAAACACGATTTAGGATTCATTTGGACAACTTGGAATCCTTGTATTTTTTAACAAGTACTTAACATTTTAGAATTCACATTTTAATAATTTAAAATTCAACTTTGCATAAAATGTGAAAAAACTTTCTCTTCTGTCATATTTGTACTCTTAATTTATTTCTACCAATTCCAAGGTCACCCAAACCCTATTTACATAATATTGGTATGAAATAACTTTGGAATAATATAAGAAGCATTTATCTATATCTACTATTTCTTATTAAAAAATCCTTCCACAAATTTTCTTTGAATCAATTATCTGCAATTTTATAGGTTGGCGCGAAAGTAATGGGAAAAACTGCAATTACTTTTGCATCAACCTAACACTAAGCCAGTTTTTAAAGATTACTATTAAGATTTAATTTTAACCAATGGTAAAAAATATTCTTAGAGAGAAGGGAATAACAAGAAGATAACTGTCTGAACAACAAAGTTATAAGCTGCAAATCCACGCGGTGACAGACACTAGAACTCTAAGAGAAGGCAGGCATGGGCTCCTTGTGGGGACACAGACATTGCTGAGAAGAAAATATCCTGATGTTGATCCAAGGATCCCAGAAATAAGCCTCTAGAATGATTCTACTTTATTAAACATGATTTTCTGTGTCATTAGTGGTTTCCATCACTGCTAAGTTAACTCATGGATTCATTCAAAATTTATAACCGTCCAGAACAGCCAGCGACCTAGTTTATTTATCCATAAGAGGCACCTGAATTAGCCATCACTTAACATTCTTTAGCAAGGATGACTTGTTATTTAGGATGAGTTAGAACTCTCTTTGCACACTACACATACAATTATTTCACTTACCAACAGAATGTTGAGATAATCCAAGCCAAACTCTCATGGTAATATTATTATTTTCCCTCATCAGTCTGCTCACAAATTTATTCTCATCTTCATCTTTTATGGAAACGATAGTTGCAGACTGATCTGTTGAAGGAAAACAAATTCTCAATTAGCTTTATGGAAACTAGAGAAGTAGTTTATTCTCAACTAGCCATTTGAAAAATATATATATTATTAACAAGATCATTGATAAATTCAAGCCTTACAGAGAGACAGTTTTTAAAAACTGGTATTTAGGTCAAAATTTTATAAGTACTTCCAAAAAAAATCACTTCCAAACATGTATAAATAAATTTTGTGCTTCTTCAAACTATTTATCTGTCAATATTTTTTTGGCCCTGGAACTGCCTACCCATGAGCCCTCTCTCACTGTTCAGATGAGAAAAGAGAAAGAGTTATATAACCTCCCAATGTCACTTAGCTAGGATATGTGGGAGCTGGAATTTGAACCCAGACCCTCATGCCTCCAAGTCTGAAGTGCTTAACCTACATATTATTTTTACAGTAAACCACTCTGTTTTCTCCTTTAGGAGAAAAAGGTTTCTGACTTTCAAAACATACATATAGCTTACAACAGTTCCCATCATGTGTATACAGGTATAACACCCAATGGTTCCCACACAAAAGTTCCCAGTAATTAGAAGATTTTTCAATCAGTCAAGTGTCTCTACAATGGTTATCAGAATAAATTAGATAAATGCCACCCATCTACCTGGCTAATTTGCTACCCAAGGAAGCAGGTAAACAAATTTTGGTCTTTGAAATACTCTAGGTAGTTTCCCTAGAAGTCATTTTACAGTTTGACTATGGATCAAATTTGTCATGGGAAAGAGCCGATCATTGCTACTCTTTCTAAAATAGCTAAATCTGAAGGCAAAAATCCCTGTCCTTTGTGGTGGTCAGAGGATGCGGCCAATCCTATTGCAGAACGGATGGACAACCATACTACTTTGATTTGTTACCCTGGTGAGGCTAAGCTTATGTATTAATAACCAAGCAGTGGAACAACTATAATTTTTATTTACTACTTAGTTAACGTTACAAAAATTTTACCTCTTAATTCTTTTTTCTAAGCATGTCTAGCTGTAGGTAAAACCATTTCAATTCGTCAGTAGTTTTGCTTAGCAGTTCACTTAGCCACTTTTATTTTATTATTTTAAATTTATTATTATTTTTTATTATTTATTTTATTTATTATTTTTTTGAGATGGAGTCTTGCTCTGTCACCCAGGCTGGAGTGCAGTGGCGCAGTCTTGACTCACTGCAACCTCCGCCTCCCTGGTTCATGCGAGTCTCCTGCCTCAGCCTCCCGAGTAGCTGGGATTACAGGTGCATACCACCACACCCAGCTAATTTTTGTATTTTTAGTAGAGACAAGGGTTCTCCATGTTGGTCATGCTGGTCTTGAATGGCTAACCTCATGATCCTCCCACCTCGGCCTCCCAAAGTGCTGGGATTATAGGCGTGAGCCATCACGCCCAGCCACCACTTTAAAATTCTACTTCTTCCCACTTACTAGTTTCCATGTACTTATTATTAACATTGATAATTTTTTTTTTGAGATGGGGTCTTGCTCTGTCACTCAGGCTGAAGTGCAGTGGCGCCATCTCGGCTAGCTGCAACCTCTGCCTCCTGGGTGCAAGTGATTCTCCTGCCTCAGCCTCCCGAGTAGCTGGGACGACAGGTGTGTGCAACCACACCCAGCTAATTTTTGTATTTTTAGTAGAGATAGGGTTTCACCATATTGGCTAGGATGTCACGATCTCTTGACCTCGTGACCCGCCCGCCTTGGCCTCCCAAAGTGCTGGGATTACTGGCATTTTTAATGGCTATTCCAATATTTCATTGAGTTCCTATGTCATAAGATACTTAACCATTTCCCTACCACTGGGCAATTAGTTTATAGTGCTATTAGAAATGGAAAGTGCTTTAAAAATATTTTCAAAAATATAATCATTGCTTCAAATTACATCCTTAACAAACATTTCTAAAAATTATTGAGTCATAAGAAAATCAACAAATTTTAACTCACCATGTTTGGAACACAATTTTTTGGCCTCTGAAAAACTGTGCAATGCCTGATCAGATGTGTAACAATGACCCCTGTACTGGATCCACCGTGACCCATTCTCTTTTACTGTTGGACATCTTGATGAATATGTAAGATGGGACAGCTTTTTAGCTATAAAAATGTTAGACACAGTTATAACAATGCATGGAAAAAACAGACTAATTCAATGTCTAATTCAAAATCTAATTCAATGTCCCTGATTGGAACTGTTGCTTTTGCGGTTAAGAAGCATTTAATTCATACCAGAGAAAGCCACAGCCCACACTCTATAAATACATATTTTAATTAACTTTTTGGAATACCGTTTAAAAAACGTAGATGATAGAAGCAGAAAATGCCTTAGCTTTCTAAGACTGATTTGGACTAAAGTAAAAACAATGAGAAAGACTAGAAAAAGAAGTAAAGACAGGCCAAGCAGACCTGAAACTACTCTGAAATAATAATTACAATTATTTCTTTCTTTGGATTCCTTTTTTTGTTTATTTATTTTTTTTAGTAGAGACGAAGTTTCACCATGTTGGCCAGGCTGGTCTCAAACTCCTCACCTCAAGTGATTCGCTCACCGCAAGTGATTTGCCCTCCTCAGGCTGCCAAAGTGCTGGGGTTACAGGCATGAGCCACCGTGCTTAGCCCCTTGGATTCCTTTTTATTTTGATAATCGAAATAAATCTAGTTTTACTTAGTCATAAAAGAACTATTTTTAAAAAATATATTTTTTTAAATTGCTAATTTGTTTTACAAAGCGTAATACATCAGCACCACAACATCACTCAAACAAAAAAAGACTAGGAGTGGCTTCTTAGCTCTTAAAAATGCCCCTGGTTTCCATTTAAATTGATTTTTAATTGTGCTGAGTAACAGAAGTAGCCTGGGGAATGCAGCTTTTGCCCCTTAACACCTGTTTTTAATTCCAACAGAAGAGCATATGAAAACTGGAAAGTAAATTGTCAATGTTGTATTAGTGAGGTACAGATTATCTGAATCAAATATCTGACCTGGTACCAGTCAGTAATCTCAACCCAGACTATTGCTTTGTGATGCATTCTGTATGGTCTGTATGTCCTTCAGTAAGTAAAGGCATTTCCTGTTTTTTTCTCCAAATCTCTTGCTTGGCAGAGTCCTTACTTGTGGTCTCTGTGATTAGAGAAGGATGGCGGCTGCTGTTTCTTTCATCATCAAGAGACTCTTTAGTGGCCCTTGGTTCCTTCTGCTGCTTCTCTGTCTTCTGTTAGAAACCAGACTTGATCTTTTTGAACTTTGGTTATTTGATTGGCGTTTGCCTCCATTCTTCTCACTAATGCTACCAATTTGAGTACTAAGTCTTCAGTTCAGCAGTTGGACTCCTGGGTAAGTTTCCCAGCTGCTGCAGATCAAAATGCATTTGCCAAATTCATCTATACAATGTATAGAACTTCTCACAACTCCTCATTAATGCTGCTGTTGAAAAGAAATGTTACTAGTAAGTTCTTGTTTGATATTTTCTATTCTGATGAAAATGGTTGGGCAAAGGTATATTGCTGATTACTTAGTGTTGCACTGGGCTCAACTGTTAATGCAAAACTTCTTGAACATTGGCTATCACGGCATCATGAGGATAGGGAACTTTTCTGAAGGGTTTGACTCTTTTTTTTTTTTTTTTTAAATTATTTCTCACACTGGCAACATAAGCAAATGCCTTATGTTTGGTCTATTTGTTTCTAGTATAGTCTGCAACTGGGGTCTCTTAGGTTGCATACATTTTTTTTTCTTCCTGTTCTTCATGAAGTTTTGCTTCCAACTCTTTTTTTTTTTTTTGGAAGGGCCTGCATCGTGGTAAGTGTGTTATATTCCTGTTCAAGAAGATCCATTTTTTTTAACTGTGGTAAAATACACATAACATAAAATTAATCATCTTAACCATTTTGGTTTTGTTTTGTTTTTAGAGACAGGGTCTTATTCTGTCACCCAGGTTGGAATGCAGTAGTGCAATCACAGCTCACTGCAGTCTCAAACTCGTGGGTGCAATAGAGTCTCCTGCCTCAGTTTCCCAAGTAGCTGGGATTACAGGCATGCACTACTGTGTCCAGCTAATTTAACAATTTTTTTTGTAGAGATGGAGTCTCACTCTGTTGCCCAGGCAGGTCTTGAACTCCTGGGCTCAAGCCATCCACCTGTCTCAGCCCCCCAAAGTGCTGAGATTACAAGCATGAACCACCACATCTGGCCTTAACCATTTTCAAGTGTACAGTCCCGTGGCACCAAATGCATTCACTCTGCTGTACAACTATCACCACCATCCATCTCTAAAACTTTTCTATCTTGCAAAATTGAAACTCTATACCCACTAAACAATAACTCCCCATATTCCCTTCCATCTTGTCCCTGGTAACTGCCATTCTACTTCCTGTCTCTATGAATTTGAGAACTCTGGGTACTACCTCATATAAATGGAATCATAGAGTATTTGTCTTTTTGTGACTGGCTTATTTCACTTAGCATACTGTCTTCAAGGTTCATCTGTGTTGCAGCATGCATCAGAACTTCCTTCCTTTTTAAGGCTTCTTCCCCATTTGTCCATCCATGGACACTTGGGGTGCTTGCATCTTTGGCTATTATGAATTATGCTGCTATGACATGGTTGGACAAACACCTGTTTGAATCCCTGCTTTCAGATGTTTTGAGTATATACCTGAAGTGCTGGATCACATAGTAATCTTATGTATATGCTTTTGAGGAATTGCCACACCATTTTGCACAGTGGTTACACGGTTTTATATTCCTACCAGCAATGCATAAGGGTTCCATTTTCTCCACATCCTCACTAATGCTTGTTATTCTCTGGTTTTTTTGAAGATCCAGTTTTTAAAGTTAGCTCTTGTATTAGTTTCCTTGGGCTGCCATAATAAATTCCACAAAATTGGTGGCTTAAAACAACAGAAATGTCCTGGCTAACACGGTGAAACACCGTCTCTACTAAAAAAATACAAAAAACTAGCCGGGCGAGGTGGCGGTCGCCTGTAGTCCCAGCTACTCGGGAAGCTGAGGCAGGAGAATGGCGTAAACCCGGGAGGCGGAGCTTGCAGTGAGCTGAGATCCGGCCACAGCACTCCAGCCTGGGCGACAGAGCAAGACTCCGTCTCAAAAAAAAAAAAAAACAACAACAACAGAAATGTATGCTCTCACAGTTCTGGAGGCTAGAAGTCTGAATTGAAGGGGTTAGGATTGGTTCTCATTGGAGGCTCTAATGGAGAATCTGTCTCGTGCCTCCCTCTCATCTTCTGGTGGTTGCCGACAATCCTCGGCTTATCACTCTGTCACTGCAATCTCAGCCTTTGTCATCACGTGGCCTTCTTCCCTCTGTATGTCTGTATCTCCCTCTTAAAAGGACACTAGTCATTGGATTTAGGGCCCACCATAATCCAGTATGTCCTCATCTCAACTACCTACATCTGTAAACTCTATTTCTCAATAAAGTGACAGTCTAAGGTTCTGACTGGACAGCAATCTTTGGGGAGGAGGCATTATTCAACCTGGCGGAGCACAGAACTTGCGTCTGGTCATCTTATCATTCTCTATCCCGTAAAGTCTGTTTCTCTATTTCTGCATGCCTTATTTCTCACGTATTCCAATTGTTGTTCTAAAAAGTTACATTTGTTTTCTGTGCCTAACAACTGAGAAGTCAGTTCTTGATTGTACCTTGATTCCTCATTGTTTATATCATTCTCCCTTTCTTTTATTAACCTGCTTCTCTAAAGTTTTCACATCTTCTTCTGCCTGAATCTGTTCAACCAAATGTTGAATCTGCCGTTCAAGATTCTTCAGAGCAGAAAACATGGTGAGCACTGAGAACCAGAGGCTTTGGAAACTAATGCCACCACCTCCCTGCCTATCCTGCAGGCCTCTGCAGCCTCTGGTAGTTTTTTTTTGTGTGTGTGATCTTCCTCAAGGTTCATGCTTTATCCACCAGGGGTGACCCTAAGTCCAGCCTCTAATGGAAGGGGCTCTTCCCTTAAATTTTAAGGATCATGTAAGTTTGGAAAATGCTTGGTTACACAAGGTTAAACAGACTTCATTATTACAGAAACTCTCTTAGAACCTTTGGCCGGGTGCAGTAGCTCACGCCTATACTCTCAGCACTTTGGGAGGCTGAAACAGGAGGATTGCTTGAGCCTAGGAGTTCAAGACCAGCTTCAACAACATTGTGAGACCCTATCTCTACAAAATGTTTTAAAAATTAGCTGGGTGTGGTGGCACGTGCCTGTGGTCCCAGCCACTCAGGAGGCTGAGGTGGGAGGACTGCTTGAGCCCAGGAGGTCAAGGCTGTAGTGAGCCATGTTCATGCCACTGCACTCCAGCCTGCGCAACAGAGCAATAAACACTGTCAAAAAAAAAAAAGAAAAGATAAGAACCTTTAATATGATAAATCACATGACGTGTTTCCCAAATTTATATGTGTGGGACCCTTTTTTGAAATAAGCATCTCAGCCTTTGTAAAACATTGCTAAGTGAAATTAGAATTCACAAATTCTAGGGTAGAATTTACCTGGTGACAGAACAAATGAAAGTCTTTGGGAACAAATTCCCTGAGTGCTTATATTGTATTTGTTTCCATTTACAAAGTATCAAAATCATTTTCATATAATTTGTGAATAAATCTTTAAATAAAAATTCCACTGAGCATTTAATTATGTGCATAAATTATGTCACATTTTAGTAAATGTACTGTTACTGAAATTCAAGTCTTACATTTTGTAGGTTTATAACAAATAGCACCATCCTTAACAGAGTTGCATTTTTCATGTTTCCAAGTTCCTTTTGGGTCCAAGAGGACACAATTTCCAGGAGATGTTTGGCCTTTCCATGGAATGTAGTCAAATATACTACCATCAGACCATTCAAAACTTGATTCACTTCCCTGTTGTAAGAATAATAGAGATAATCTGAACCCAGATGTATGACTCTAAAAAGAATACAAAGAACAACATACATACTTCAAGAAATATTATAATGGAATATTAATTATTTGCTTCCAGTATTGTAGGTCTCAACCTACTATTATTGTAGGTCTGACTGACTTCTGATGCACTGATTCGGGACATTTGCTCTGGCACCGTTTATGGAGAACTTTAAACTTAGAGACAGAGTTATTATACCTGGTCTTTAGATTTTTTTAAAGGATGAGTTTACGTAACACTTGAAATTAAACAACATGCAAATGGCTTCCATTTGTCACAATGACAAATTTATAATCCCAACCTTCATATTGTTCTGAATATTGTTTTCTATGTTATATAGTTTTGTGTTTTGTGTCTCTGGCTACATTTTTCACACTACAGAGGACATCAAGCAGTAGGGAGCTAGAAAAGAGAAACACTTCCCAAGAAACTCAAAATGGGAAGACTCTTTTTGAGTTTTCCTTGAATTTATCTTAACTTGCTATCCTTTTAAAAAATTTTGCCCTAAATTTTGTTCTAAAGATTATTTAAATTAGAACTACAACTCTAGTCTCAATAGATAACCATTTTTTGTATACAAGACTTTACTGTAAGTACATAAATGATTAAATAATACGATTCAAATAGTGGCACAGATGTGTTTACTAGCAGAATTAATCTTAAGTAGTGTAATTTTCTAGAGGAAAAGTGGGAAGAAAGTATGCATTTATTAGTCCTAACCATGTGGAGAATTTTAGATGGTAACTTGTATAAACTTTTGTGTTCAAGTCTCAATGAAATTATTATTACCCTGATTTTCTACATGAGGAAATAAGGTTGCAAAGGCTAAATAACTTGCTCATGATCACCCAGCATATAAATAGAAGATCCACTACTGGTACTGAAACTCAGGGTTTTCTGATTCTATGCTATTTCATTTTTACCAGCTTTCCAATTTGTCTGTCCCAACTAGGCTATAGAGGTGTTGTTGAGATATTCATCCACTGGGCCCTTGGGATGGCCTGAGCATTTGCCCTAGTGCATTCTGCACCAAAATTTTCTATTTGTTCTATGTTGTAAAAGGTAAGAAAGTACCATGCTATGCAAACGGAGTCCCAGTACTTCATCTATTGTTGCACTTTGTATTAATACTTTACGTTCAGATTTCTAACCCTCAAAATAACACATTTGAAAAGTTTCTGGAAAGCAAAGCAAGACTTACATCATGACTTGAGAGCCCAACCCACAGTGGAAATCCATCACGTTTTACAATATCTTCCAGGAAGAGCTGGCCATTTTGGTCGTGAACGCTTGCCAAGTGACCTCCACTTTGAGAACACATGTTTAACGCTTCATACCACGTTACCTTTTTTTGAATAACACTGTAAATACCATCTTCATATGGCATAAACTGTGGCAATGTAGTATTATATTCTTCTTTGTAGTCAACTATAATAATTAAAAGCACTGGTGATTAAAATTTAAATTATTTCAAATATACCTTTTGGATGAGACAACATGCAATCATTTGAAAAGTTAAATAAAACTGGGTTTCTTATTAATAAGGGAGGTCAAATGCATATTTTATTTTTCTTACTGCTATGACACATATCTTAGGCTCTTAAAGTTCTCTGGTTGATATTTTTAAAAGGCATAGACATTTTCTTTCATTTAAGAAGCTTATATATTAGTTGGAGACAGAAACAATGGCTGAAATGATGGCAAAATTATTAACCAGTAGGAACTGTGAAATTGGTAGAGATTCATTTGAATGAGAGGAGTCAGGAAGACTACTTGATAAACCAGGTCTCAAAGGTTAGGTGAAATTAAGACTAAAAAGAAATAAGGTAACCAGAAAGTAAGGAAGTGCTTAAAACAAACACAAACAACAAAGCCACAATGATGAGGTTATTTCAAGGGACATGGGAGCCAAGTGAAAGAGCTACCAAAGGCCAAAGCGGAAAGACTTGAGCAAAACATTACAGAATGCAGTATGTTAGATTATAATCCAAAGTATAAAATAAATAACCATGAACCTATACTAGGTCTAGAAGATTGGAGGAAATTAAGAACAAAAAGAAGGAGAAACTATGGAAGCGCTACAAACTAACAAATAACAAAAAAACCACAATGATGAGGGTATAAATAAATAACTGAATAAATTTAAAAATTGGGGCCAGGTGCAGTGGCTCACGCCTGTAATCCCAGCATTTTGGGAGGCCAAGGCAGGGGAATCACCTGAGGTCAGGAGTTCAAGACCAGCCTGGCCAACATGGTGAAACCTCATCTCTACCAAAAATATAAAAAATTAGCCGGGCATGGTGGTGCGTGCCTGTAATCCCAGGTACTTGGGAGGCTGAGGAAAGAGAATCGCTGGAACCTGGAAGGCAGAGGTTGCAGTGAGCTGAGATGGCACCACTGCACTCCAGCCTGGGTGACAGAGCAAGACTCCATCTCAAAAAAAATAAAAAATAAAATAAAATAAAAATTGGAGAAAATAGACAAATACCCCGTGCAGAAGAATTTCAAGTTATTTATATAGATACTCCCCTCACAGGAAGGTGGAGGATAACTTTCTACCCTGTTAAGTATGGATTCTACATAGTGACTTCCTTAGAAAGAGGACAGTTATGGAAAGGAGGAAAACGGGTAACTTTGCAGCAGAGAACTTAACAAACACTACCTTGGGCCAGGTGGCCAGTGATAAGTCACATGAATAGTACATGGTGCCCATGTGAAGTGAGAATGCTCCCTCACATCTTTGGTCTTCCTCCAGAAACTTATAACTCCAGTTGAATCATGAGAAAAACATCCGCCAACCCAAACTGAGGGACATTCTACCAAATACATGACCAGTGTTCCTCAAAACTGTTAAGGCCATCAAAAACAAGAAAAGTCTGAGAAACCACCCAGCCAAGAGGAGCCTAAGGAGGCAGGAGTACTAAAGGTAAGGTGGGGTCCTGGATGGGATCCTGGAAAGAAAAAGTATGTTAAATAAAAACTACGGAAATTTGAATAATGTGTGGACTTTAGTTAATAATAATAATAATGATCAATATTGGTTTATTAGTTGTGACAAATGTACCTTACTAAAGTAATATGTCAACAGTAGGGGAAATTGTAGGATAGATGGGAACACTCTGTACTATCTTTGCAACTTTTCTGTAACTCTAAAACTATCCTACAATGAAAAGTTTATTAAAGACGTAAAAAAAGAAAGAAAGAAAAGTTGCAAAACTTCTTGGCAGGAGGAAAACATAAAGGTGCAAGTATGAGGATGGGCATACCCTGTGCCTGGGACAATGAGAGACCAGCTTGATTGAGAAAAAGATGTTTTGCTGAACAAGAATGGGGAAAAACAGGGAACTGGGAGAAGGCCTAGAAATTGGGGACAGAGACTAGTTTCTAAAATGTCTCACAAGTTTACACTGACTCAAAGTAGGTTAGAATAAGGAATCCCTGGAGGTTGCTGGTGGACACGGTCTTGGGAAGTGACTGCGGCGCTGTGAAGTGAGCCGACTAGCCAGCACGCCACCATTACGGGCTCCCACTGAGCAGGAAGCTTAGGGCACAGTGGGAGTAATAAGAGTTTTAGGGCACAGTGGTAATAATTAACAGTTTTTAAGCTGTGAAAAAATTAAAACTAACATATATTTAAAAATAGATTTATTTACAAATTAGGCAAGGTTGAGAGACATTCACTTTGCACAGAATGTCAAAACTCTTCCCCCACTTTCTTATTTATACAAACCCTATGCATTTTTCAAACCCCAACCAAGTTTCACCTCTTCTTGAAGCCTTTCCTTTTTTCTGTCATTCCCCTTTCCAATGTATCAGTTTTGACTTCCCCACAATTGAAGCCTGTATCAATTAATCTAAGGCTAATTTACATTAAACAATAATAAGGAATTTAATGCTATCTCCACAACTACATTTTACTCCTTAGGGTCAAAACCTTGACAGCAGGGCCCGTGTCTTTTCCTTCCTCGTTAACCTCTGGAACACCTCGCACAGGACTGAACACAGAGGAAGCATTTGATTGTATGATTCCCGCTAGTGGAACTAATAGCCTTATATTCTTCCCCTGGAGTGAAAGAAAACTCTATATTACTATACTTACCCATTTCAATTTTACAAGCAAGAATGCTGTGCTGGTGAAAATAAAGTGTTTCTTCAATAACATTAAAGGTTTTAATATCCCAGAAGCCATCAGTACTTAAACCAGCCAAAAACTTCTCATTTTTTATACTTGGTCTTCCTGCTCTCCAATGTGTATATGACAGTGGGGTCTTATCAAACCACATAAGAGAATTATCTAGAGAAGAAACATTGTTTTCCTATGCTTAGAGATTAAATCAATACTTGAATTACAGTTATATAGTTAAGATTTCAAACTTGACTGATTTTATCTTTTCCCAACCTTCTAAAAGTTTGTATGATTATGTATAACCCTTTAAGATATTTTCTGATTATAACAGTAAATCATGCTCATTTTTAATTTGACTATAAATGCAAACTACAGATATTGACCTATAATTCCACCATCCTTCAGTAATAACATTTCATTTTTGTCATCAAATATTATTTTCCAGAAGTCATTATATGAAAAAGATACTTGCACGTGCATGTTTATAGCAGCACAATTCACAATAGCAAAAATATAGAACCAGCCCAAATGCCCATCAACCAACGAATGGATAAAGAAAATGTGGTAATGTGGTATATATGTACCATGGAATACGACTCAGCCATAAAAAGGAATGAAATAATGGCACTCGCAGCAAACTGAATGGAAATGGAGACCATTATTCTAAGTGAAGTAACTCAGGAATGGAAAATCAAACATTGTGTGTTCTCACGAAGTGGGAGCTAAGCTATGAGGATGCAAAGGCATAAAAATTATACAATGGACACTGGACTCAGGGGGAAGGATGGGAGGGGGTGAAGGATAAAAGATTACACACTAGGTACAGTGTACACTGCTCGTGTGATGGGTACACCAAAATCAGAAATCAACACTGAAGAACTTATCTATGTAACCAACCACCACCTGTTCCCCCAAAACCTATTGAAATAAAAAATATTTTATCTTACATATACATTTAATTGCAATGGAAATGAACATGACTATTTTATTATTTAAAACATGATTGATACATTATAAAAGTCGCCAAAGAAATCTCTTCTCTGGACATAAACTGTTAACAACTGTGCATACTTACAGTCAATTAATTTTTTTTTCTTTGAGATGGAGTCTCACTCTGTCACCCAGGCTGGAGCGCAGTGGCACAATCTCAGCTCACTGCAACCTCCACCCCCAGGGTTCAAGCAATTCTCTGCCTCAGCCTCCTGAGTAGCAGGGATTAAGATGCCCGCCACCACAGCTGGCTAACTTTTGTATTTTTTAGTAGAGATGGGGTTTCACCATCTTGGCCAGGCTGGTCTTGAATTCCTGACCTCATAATCCACCTGCCTCGGCCTCCCAAAGTGCTGCGATTATAGGTGTGAGCCACTGCACCTGGCCAGTCAATTGATTTTTAAGAAGGATGCCAAGACAATTCAGTATGGAAAAAATAGTCTTTTAAACTGGATATCCACAAGCAAAAAAAAAAAAAAGAAGTTGGACCCCTTTCTTTCACCACACACAAAAATTAAAGTAGATCACAGACATAAATATAAGAGCTACAACTATAAAACCTTTAGAAGAAAACACAAGAGGCCGGGCACCATGGCTCACCCCTGTAATTGCAGCACTTTGGGAGGCTGAGGTGGGCAGGATCACCTAAGGTCAGTAAACCAGCCTGGTCAACATGGTAAAACCCCATCTCTACTAAAAATACAAAAATTAGCTGGGCATGGTGGTGGGCGCCTGTAATCCCACTACTCGGGAGGCTGAGGCTGGAGAACAGCTTGAACCTAGGAGGCGGAGGTTGCAGTGAGCTGAGATCACGCCACTGCACCACTTCAGCTTTGGTGATAAGAGCAAAAGTCTGTCTCAAAAAAAATAAAGAAAACATAGGAGTAAGTCTTCATAACCTTGGGGTAAGCAAAGCCTTCTTACATATGCACAAATGACAAAAGAAAAACACTTTTGTGATGGATTGCTGGCAAGATGGCCAAATAGGAACAACTCCAGTCTGCACCTCCCAGCAAGACTGATGCAGAAGGCGGATGATTTCTGCATTCCCAACTGAGATACCGGGTTCATCTTACTGCGACTGGTTGGACAGTGGGTGCAGCCCACGGAGGGTGAGCCAAAGCAGAGTGGGGCAACGCCTCACCTGGGAAGTGCGAGGGGTTGGGGAATTTTCTCCCCTACCCAAGGGAAGCCACGAGGGACTGGGCGTGAGGAACTCCGGCACAGATACCGCGCTTGTCCCACGGTCTTCACAACTGCAAACCAGGAGATTCCCTCTGGTGCCTACCCCACCAGGGTCCTGGGTTTCAAGCACAAAACTGGGCAGCCATTTGGGCAGACACCAAACTAGCTGCAGGAGTTCTGTTTTTCCCATACCCCAGTGGTGCCTGCAATGCCGGCAAGACAGAACTGTTCACCCCCTTGGAAAGGGGTGCTGAAGCCAGGGAGTCAAGTGGTCTGGCTCGGTGGGTCCCACCCCTACGGAGCCCAGGAAACTAAGATCCACTGGCTTGAAATTCTTGCTGCCAGCACAGCAGGAGTCTGAGATTGACCTGGGACACTAGAGCTTGGTTGGGGGAGGGGCATCCGCCATTGCTGAGGCTTGAGTAGGCGGTTTTACGCTTCTGGTGTAAACAAACCTGCTGGGAAGTTCGAACTGGGTGGAGCCCCTGTAGCTCAGCAAGGCTGCTATGACCAGACTGCCAGATTTCTCCTCTCTGGGCAGGGTGTCTTTGAAAAAAAGGCAGCAGCCCCAGTCAGGGACTTATAGCAGACTTAAACGTCCCTGCCTGACGGCCCTAAGAGAGCAGCGCACCTCCCAGCACAGACTTCGAGCTCTGCTAAGGGTCAGACAGCCTCCTCAAGTGGGTCCCTGACCCCCATGTATCCTGACTGGGAGATACCTCCCAGTAGGGGCCAACAAACACTTCATACAGGAGACCTCTGGCTGGCATCAGGCAGGTGCTCCTCTGGGAAGAAGCTTCCAAAGCTTCCAGAGGAAAGAACAGGCAGCAATCTTTGCTGTTTTGCAGCCTCCACTGGTGATACCCAGGCAAACAGAGTCAGGAGTGGACATCCAGCAAACTCCAGCAGACTGGCAGCAGAGGGGTCTGTTAGAAGGACTACTAACAAACAGAAATGAATAGCATGTCCATTCAAAGGCCCCATCCGAAGGTCACCAACATCAAAGACCGAAGGTAGATAAATCCACAAAGATGGGGAGAAACCAATGCAAAAAGGCTAAAATTCCAAAAACCAGAATGCTTCTTCTCCTCCAAAGGATCACAACTCTTAGTCAGCAAGCGAACAAAACTGGATGGAGAAAGAGTTTGACGAATTGACAGAAGTAGGCTTCAGAAGGTGGGTAATAACAAATTCCTCTGAGCTAAAGGAGCATGTTCTAACCCAATGCAAGGAAGCTAAGAACCTTGAAAAAGGTTAGATGAATTGCTAACTAGAATAACCTCTGTAGAGAAGAACATAAATGACCTGATGGAGCTGAAACACACAGCACGAGAACTTCATGAAGCATACACAAGTATCAATAGCTGAATTGATCAAGCAGAAGAAAGGATATCAGAGATTGAATAGCAACTTAATGAAATAAAGAGAGAAGACAAGATTAAACAAAAAAGAATAAAAAGGAATGAACAATGCCTCCAAGAAATATGGGACTATGTGAAAAGACCAAATCTACATTTGACTGGTGTACCTGAAAGTGACGGAGAGAATAGAACCAAGTTGGAAAACAATGTTTAGGATATTATCCAGGAGAACGTCCCCAACCCAACAAGACAGGCTAACATTCAAATTCAGGAAATACAGAGAATACCACAAAGATACTCCACAAGAGGAGCAACCCCAAGAGACATAATCGTCAGATTCACCAAGGTTGAAATGAAGGAAAAAATGTTCAGGGCAGCCAGAGAGAAAGGTCGTGTTACTCACAAAGGGAAGCCCATCAGACTAACAGTGGATCTCTCTGCAGAAACCCTACAAGCCAGAAGAGAGTGGGGGCCAATATTCAACATTCCTAAAGAAAAGAATTTTCAACCCACAATTTCGTATCCAGCCAACTAAGTGAAGGAGAAATGAAATCCTTTACAGACAAACAAATGCTGAGAGATTTTGTCACCAC